GAGGCCGAGGAGGGCGGATCACGAGGTCAGGAGATAGAGACCATCCTGGCTAACACGGTGAAACCCCATCTCTACTGAAAATACAAAAAATTAGCCGGGCATGGTGGCGGGTGCCTATAGTCCCAGCTACTCGGGAGGCTGAGGCAGGAGAATGATGTGAACCCGGGAGGCGGAGCTTGCAGTGAGCCGAGATCACGCCACTGCACTCCAGCCTGGGTGGCAGAGCGAGACGCTGTCTCAAAAAAACAAAAACAAAAACAAAAAAACAAAAACACCTTTTTCTCTTAATTTTAAAGAAACAATTAATAGCTTTATTTTTTAGAGTAGTTTTAGGTTTATAGAAAACAAGCAAGAGTACAGAGTTTCCATGTACTGTCCTCTACCTCAGTTTCCTCATTATTAACATCTTACATTATATTTGTTGCAATTGATGAACCAATATTGGTATATTATTATTAATTAGTGGTTTATATTAGGGTTCACTTTTTGTGTTGTATAATTCTATGCATTTTCTTCTCCCATTTTTTTTTTTTTAGAGACAGGGTCTCACTCAGTCTCCCAGGCTGGAGTGCAGTGGTACCATCACAGCTCACTGCAACCTCCACATCCTGGGCTCTCGTGATCCTCCTACCTCAGCCTCCTGAGTAGCTGGGACCACAGGCACACAACTATGTCAGGCTAATTTTTTTTTGTTTTGTTTTGAGACAGAATTTGGCTCTTGTTGCCGAGGCTGGAGTGCAATGGCGGAATCTCTGCTCACTGCACCCTCCACCTCCCGGGTTCAAGCGATTCTCCTGCCTCAGCTCCTGAGTAGCTGGGATTACAGGTGCCTGCCACCACGCCTGGCTACTTTTTTGTATTTTTAGGAGAGATGGGGTTTTGCCATGTTGGCCAGGCTGGTCTTGAACTCCGGACCTAAAGTGATCCACCCACCTTGGCCTTCCAAAGTGCTGGGATTACAGGCGTGAGCCCCCATGCCTGCATGCCAGGCTAATTTTTTTTTTTTTTTTTTTTTTTTTGTAGATGGAGTCTCACGCTCTGTCCCTGTCTCTTATACACATCTAGATGTGTATAAGAGACAGGAAAATATTATTCAGTATTATTAAATACTGAAAAACTTTTATACCAGTTGGTAAAAAGCAGTTGCCCAAAGTGCTCTGGGGTTTCTTGACCTTTT